GTGTCCCTTGCTCTGTGTGTGTGTGTGTGTGTGTGTGTGTGTGTGTGTGAAGCACACATAACATCAAATCCAGCCTTGTAACAAATTCTGAAACGCATCATACTGCATTGTCAGCTGTAGGCACTATGCCATACAGCAGATCTCCAGGCCGTAATCATGTCACGTAACTGAAATTTACACCCCTTGAGTAACGACTCCTCAGCACCCCCATCCATCCCTCAGCCCCTGGAAACCACTCTTGTGTCCTCTGCTTCTGTGCCTTCGACCACGTCAGAAGCCACCCATAAGTGGAGTCACACGGTATCTGTCCTTCAGTGACTGGCTGATTTCACTTAGCACAACGCCCTGTGGGTTCACCCATGTTGTCCTTAACAGGTGGGAATTCCTCCATTTTGTTAAGATTCAGCCTTTATGCTTCAATCGTCAATTCCTGAAGAAAATCACCCCACTCCTTCGGCTTAGGAAACACTTCTAAAGCCCCAGACCGGAAGAACGTTTTCTTAAAGAAATTGAGCAAAGTTTAAGGAAACGATAGACTTTTCTAAATTTACTTCCTTTGTTCACATCTTCTGTGAATTAAACTGGAATCCTTGAAGAGTTTGTGTATTGTATTCATTTTTGCAAGTCCAGCTCCTAACAGAGTGTTAGGCGCATAGTAGGTCTTAAATAAATGTTTACTGATTGGTGAAACAATCAAACAGTGTGAATTAGGAGCAGGTTGATTTTTTCCTATAAGGTCACTTTCTTAAAATGTTAGTTCATATGATCTTGAAAGGACTGATTTGGAAGAACTCTGTTCATTTCTGACCATTTGGGAAATAGCAGTCCTCTTGCTAAAATACATTATGTTTAGACAAGTTAAACATGAAGGTGGAATAGAAAAAATGGGGGGAACCAGTTATATAACCTTTCTTTTCAATGCTGCCCTTAACTAATCCCTGCAAGTATGATTAAGTGCATAGGACTTTCTGCAGTATGTTGATTTGCACATCATATAGTCTACATATTATGTAGAATTTTTTGTCAACAAAATTCAAAAGCTGATGAAAACCGTACCTCAAGATAAAGTTTTGATAATACTTGTATTAGAGAAAAAAATATTTAAGTCAGCTAGACGAGTTATCTCAGAATCAAAAAGACAATTGGGAGTTCAAGATTTGCAGATACTAACTACTGTACACAAAAGAGATAAACAACAAGTCCTACTGTAGAGCACAGGGAACTATATTCAATATCTTGTAGTGACCTATATGAAAAGGAATGTGACAAGAAATATATGTATGTACATGTATGACTGAAGCATGATGCTGTACATCAGAAATTGACACAACATTGCAAACTGACTACACTTCAACAAAAAGTTTAAACCCCCCCAAAAACAGTTTCCATAAAGCACAATTCTTAAAAAAAAATGAGCTGATGGTAGAGTCTAATAGTTTTTAAACAAAAGCTAACCTGTGAATAAAAGCTTTTTCTTTTTTGCATGGATTTTTCCCTTTATTTTTGCAGTCTAACAAACAAAAATAGTACACCACTTTTCTTTTTTTTTAATTCTTTTTTTGGGGGAAGGCATTAGGTTAATTTTTATTTATTTATTTATGTAATGGAGGCCCTGGGGATTGAACCCAGGACCTCATGCATGCTGAGCCCACGCTCTACCACTGAGCTGTACCATCCCCCCCCCCACTTTTCTTTTAAATACCGTGTACTCACGGTATAACAAACACTGTGTATCAGACCCATATCTGAGTTTAAATTCTAAATCCAATACCTGAAATACAGTAAATATCTCTCTCTCCCAAACACTCTGGCAACAAAGTAAAACCTGTGGAATTGAATACTATGAATTCCTTCATTTGGTCGCATGTTTCTTAATCTTCTAAATTCTTCAGTACACTCATTTGATCTATAATTGAGAACTCATTCCAGGATTTGGTGTAATCCTCTTCTCTCCTAGACTTTTGGCAAGCTCATCATAAAGGCCTTCATCATTCAAATTCCTCCTTGAAGCAACAATTATCTCATCTTGAAAGCAGCATCGGACATTTAGAAAACTACGTGAAGGTCTAATCTTGCCTGTTAGCCTGCACCAGGTTTTCTTCTTTCTAGCACAAGACAATTATTGAAAATCCTACAAAGAGTGTTCTCTCTTTTGGCAGGAAATCTGGAATGGAAATCAACAAGGCTGATTCCTTTAAAGACTGGGTTCCAGGATGCCCAATTTATGTCTCTTGCCCCCCTCCCCACTTGCTTACCACTATCAGTTGATACCAGGATGTTGCTAAGGGGACAATTTACTTGAATGGCTAAATGGATAAAATGAAATCAGTGACAGGACAGCAATCTTGTTCATTTTTTTTTTTAATCAGTCTTTTTTTTTTTTTTTGGTGGGGGGAAGTAATTAGGTTTTTATTTAATTTATTTTAACAGAAGTATTGGGGATTGAACCCAGGACCTCATGCACGCTAAGTACATGCTCTACCACTGAGGTACACCCTCCCCCTCATCATGTTCATTTTTGACACCGGACTCCACCCTTAGTGATTCCTAAGGGGTGAGATCTGGAGCCCTCTAGTGGTGGTGTAGGGGGTTCTGGTCTTTAAAAAGTCACTTGATCTCTGGTCTTCATTTTCTTTCTCTCTTTCTTCTCTTCTTTCTTTCATGTTTGTTTCTTTTTTTAAATTGAAGTACAGTCAGTTTACAATGTTGTGTCAATTTCTGGTGTTTAGCCTAATGTTTCAGTCACCCATATACATACATATATTCATTTTCATATTCTTTTTCATTATAGGTTGCCAAAAGATACTGAATATAGTTCCCTGTGCTATATGGTAGAACCTTGTTGTTTATCTATTTCATATATAGTAGTTAGTATATACAAATCTTGAACTCCCAATTTATCCCTTCCCACCCCTTCCCCCCCGGTAGCCATAAGTTTGTTTTCTATGTCTGTGAGTCTGTTTCTGTTTTGTAAATAAGTTCATTTGTGTCTCTCTCTCTCTTTTTTTTTAAGATTCCACATGTAAGTGATATCATATGACATATGTCTTTTTATTTCTAGTTTACTTCACTTAGTATGACGATCTCCAGGTCCATCCATGTTGCAGAAGATAACATTATTTATTCTTTTTTATGGCTAAGTAGTACTCTGGTCTTCATTTTCTCATTCACAGAATATATTCATTTGTTTGCTCATTCATTAAATAATGAATAATCACACGCTACATGCCAGAAACTGTGCTGGGCAATGATGATATAAAAGAGGTTACAAAAAAAAATTCACAGGGCAGTGGCCAGAAAGTTAAGGAAAACTAGAGTTACAAAGCAACATGCTGTCTCCATTGGAGGTAAGAGCTCACAGGATCTTGGAGGATGGTAGCTCACGTAGTGAGAACACTGGCCAAGGCCACGTGGGAGACCTGGGGTCTGAGCTGAGTTACCCGGGTGGGGGAACTGACCTGGGACTCCGGAAGGGCACTCACAAAGTTGGGCATTTTTGAGACAGTAAAGGAAGATTACACTACGGGTTGCAAAAGAAGGAAAAATAGGCCAAGGGCAAACTCTGAAGGGACTAGAGTGGCAGGTGGAAGATCTGAGATCCGTCCAAAAGGAAAAGTAGTTATTAGAATTTTCCACCAAAGGGTTTCATGATCAGAGTTATAATTTAGAAATAGTTTTTCACTTGGAGAAGGCAGAGGTCATGAGACCAGCTCTCAGAAGGCCACAAAAATACAGAAACAAATTGACATGAGCATGAGGAATGAGAGAGGGATATGGGTTCATGAGCTATTAGGAAGTGAACTGACCTGATTTAGGAAGTATTGGGATGTGGAGGATGAGGGAGAGAAAATCAATCTAGGGGCATTTTTAGAGTTTAGTTTTGGAGATGCTACTTTTGTAGCACGTTGGAGACCTCCAAGTGGGGCTACGGGCAGGTGGCAAGACACACGACCTTGGAACTCAGGAGGAATGTCAAGGTTGAAATAAAAGATGAAGATTCTTTAAATCATGCAATATAACATAAGGGGAGGGGGAACACTGTTAATCAAGGAGACAAAAAGGATGACCCCAAAGGTAGGAGAGAAAAATCAGTGTCAATGAACCAGGAGAGCAGAGAATTTCAACGAAAGAACAGTCAACGGCATAAACTCCTATATGGCAGCAAAATAAAGTGAAGCCAGAAAAGAGTCAGGGCACCTTGTGACTCAGAGGTGGTTGGTGACCGAAGAGAGTGCAGAGTCAGTGGGGTAACTTGGACACAAACAAGACTACCAGATTGAAGACTTAGCAGAACCACAAGAAATGGGAGACTTTTTCTAGAAGCTTGGGGTAACGGAAGAGATCAGCTAATTGGCTACAAGATCTTTCTGGCTCTCTTTAGCAATGACATTTTGTGGAATTCTACTAACAAAACAGTTGTATCGAGAAGTGTGGGCATGCCTCCCCATATTTCCAACTTCCTACCAGCCTGGATGTTAAGGAATTGAGGCAATGGAGCTCAGGTAGGTTCAGAACAGGATTCATGGGTTTGGGACTTGGCTGGGGCACCCATGTGGGCAGCACACCTGTGCCTGTCCAGGTGATGAAGTGGGCAAGGGGGCAGCCGGCCAGCAGCCTCCCTGACCTCCTGGCTTGTGGTGGTGGGAGTACAATCATTTCATACAGTGAAAAGATGGAAAATAGTATCTCCAGGGGATTAAAATAACCTGTAGGCAAACGTACAGAAATAGAGAGGGACCCTGGTGGGATGTCCTGTTTGTTTACTCACAGGTGGTCCTGGAGGTCCCGGTTTTCCTGGAGGACCTGTTTTCCCCCGTCTTCCCTAGAAACCAAAGAGAAACAGACAATAAAAGCTGTGCTTCCATTTTATTTTCAGATGAAGCAATGTTCAGTGGCAATTTTAAAGACAGTAAAATTCAACTAAAAGTTACAAAACAATTTCGAGTCCATATGACCTTTAAAGATTGATGAAGTCTAAAAGCTTTGGGACGACTCTTAATGACCAAGATGAGACAAATAGTGCCTGGAACAAATAACTCGTAACTGTTATTATCAGCTCTTTAAAGGTTGTCTACTTTGATACTTTAGCAAAGTAATACAAATTATCTGGAAGATGGGCCAAGATTGGCATTTTATCTGATAATTCAGTGGCTTCACATACAACAACAGATGTATTTGTCATCTTAAATTGGTATTTCTTAAACAGTGGTCTGAATTCTGACTTTAGATCAGCATGAGAAGGTATTAAAAATACCTATTTCTGGGCTCCACCCTGGACTTACTGGTTTAGAACGGATCTATGACTTAGTGTTGAAAAAAACCAGTTCAGGTAATCCTTACTTTCACTAAAGTTTGAAAAGCATTTCCTTGAGCCACCTTATGATTACATATGTTGTGTAAAGCACATTGACTTGCTCTTTTCTTCCCTTTGGATGGCTTGGCTGTTTTGTAAGTGAACCAAAATGTTCACTCCTTGCTTATCAGTCTTCATTTTTGTGAGTGAGTATTAACTTCTCAAGTTCACAAGTAGCTAACTTCCCACTGAGAGTGAGTCAGAATAACATTTTTAAGTACCCGTGTATCTAATATCATTTAAAGACCATTTTCTTATTACAAATTTATTTTCATCGTTATTTTTTCCCCTTTCTAATAGAAGGAAGCAAGTTTTGCTACTGAAAGTGCACATTTTGAATGAGAAGCATTTCTGAGCATGTTTTCTAAATATGGACACTCTATTTCATTGTTACTAGTAATTTTATTTTATTGACATATTGGTAGTATGTTAATATGTATTCAGGTTTGTTGCTACTTAAAAAGTAACAGTATTAGGTTGATCTTTCAATTCTTCTGGGGGAGAATTGTAAGCAAAAACATGGAAAGGCCCATTTCATTTATGAATTTTCTTGCTCTGAAAGTGTCAGCCAAAGTTGCTTGGTTTCTCTGGTTTTCATCCAGGCCTGGAGTCGGGTAGGAAGTTCAATGCCAGGTAGAGCAGCGGGCCAAGCTTTGGAAGGTTAGTAAGCAAATACAGCACTGCGATCGGGTGGGAAATGCTTCCATCACTGCTGAAGGCAAGTGAATTACACACTATCAAAGAGTCCCTCTAAGAACGCAGCTGTTTGCATAAAAAAAAATCCTACCTAACATCTACAGGACAGATTTTTAAAAATTTTATTAAAACCAGAAATATGATTAGTAGTATTTTCATGCACCTTCTGTTTTAGAGATCTGAACCTTAGAGTTCCTCTGATGGGGGCCATTGTCAGATTGGAATGAGTATAAAATGTAATATTCTGTATACCGAATAAAAGTTATACACAGGTGCAAATTCTTCTCGTCTTGCAGTTCTGCAAATCAATATATTGGGTCTTTTAGTAAATGTAGGTCCATTAGCCCCTGAGGATGCATCAATGATTAAAAAGTTTGCTTAGAAAGTGGGAGTATTGTCCTGTATTAATTTGCAAGAGCACAAAGGAAAAAAATCAGTGGCCTCCGAGTAGGTGATCGGTTCTTTCTTTTAGGTCAAGTTGAGTTAAAACCATGGGCTCGACTTTTGTGTGTGTTCTCCTTTCTTGATGGGAGACATATATATTGATTTGCAAAATGAGGCTGACTGTTGATCAACTTTTATCACAGAGTTAATGTTTAAAAGATAAATGACGTATCAGAAATTGTAACATCACACCGGCATGTCTTACGATGAGGAGGACAAAGCAGTCATAATTTGGTATGGTACGGGCGAACATCCTGATTCCTGCCTCTCAGTTCTGACTTATATCATCGTTCAAGCCAGCCTGGCAACTGCCAGAGTGTTGTACTGATGTGTCTCTGAAACAGTGCAGGGGGAACGCTGATTTCCTTTATGCACCCTTGCTAAGAGTACACAAAGAGGCAAAATATTTTTGAGGATGGTTAAATTATTGGCGCATACTGTGCATGGAGAACTTCAGCCGGCACATCCTTTCGAAAAGTTTACACGTACATGCTTTCTAGGCTTGAATTTCTAGTAACTCCCTAAAGCAGATCTGAATAATCTTTTAAGACGTGTTTTACAAAGTGACAGTGTCACATTTTTTAAACCATACTGTCTAATAAATTTGAGGTGTCTTTGGACTTAGGACTTTACCTCAAGTCCTAGGTCTCAGTGACCTGTAGAGAGTGCTCCGACAGGACAGGGCAGAAGGGTGAATGGATGAGAAACACAGGTGGACACTCCAAAATATAAGGGAACCACTGGGGGCCACCATTTCGATCAACCGCCTAGTTGAAGCCCACTCTCAGACATCGTCTTGCTTCTCTCCAAGGCGCCCCAGGAATTCCTTCCTTCGTCTCCCTCCGCCCAGTCGAGGCTGCACGGAACAGTCTCGCGGTCTCCTGTTCCCCTAGAAGATCTTTCTCGTCTCACTTAGAAGCATTAGGGAAAGGCTAAAGCCGACCTAAGCAGTTAACAGTCGATTTTTGGTAGGGAAGGGGGAATTTTATTATTTAATCCAGGATAACTCGCAGAGTATTTGATTATTCATAATGATGCCAAGACAACAGGCATAACCACAACCCCCATCCTAGAACTGGAATCAGATTCCTCCATTTTTTCTGAAGTAAGTGTAACCCGTGGATCTCTGTTTCCTCACGGGCTCTGGGGAGTTGCATGAGGACACTGTAGGGAGGGCTAGAGGCTGGGGCTGGGGCTGTTAATGGTGGGGCCAGGGAGTACGATGTACGTGAGGGGATGGTAATTTTGTGTTTGTTGCAGATTTACCGTCAGGTTGCCCTGGAAACCTCAGTGCTCAGCGTGTACGTTTCCTGTTTGGCAACAGTGTAAAGGTTATTAGACAGCAGTTTAGATATTTGTCTGATGATTTAAGCCTAGTGGTGCTCTAACCTGATCACGTATGAGCATCCTCGGGAGGGCCAGCTGAAGCAGATTGCTGTCCCCACTTCCAGAGTTTCTGATTCAACAGGTCCAGGGTGGGACCTGAGAACCTGCATGTATAAAAAATTCCCAGTAATGAGGATGCTTCCAGCCTGGAGACCACACTTTGAGTACCCCTGTTCTAAACTTCAACCTCTTCATATTTAAAGTCAGGCAATCTTGTATATCCCCTAATCTTGTAAACCATGCAGCTCAGAACAAAAGAGCTGAATTGGTTTTGTGATCATATGGAACTTTAAGAATAAAAATCCTGTTGTCAACTTCAAGAGCACCTGGATTGGAGTCCCAGCCTTTTCTCTTATGGAGGCTTACTGTATCAAGATGTCGCTGCTGGAAAATTGGTACTTACACTTTGCAGCAGCTTTTTTAAGAATTTAAAAAAAGAGATCATATATAAAATTCCTACTACACACCCACCCATTAGGATGGCTACTTTCAAAAAACAAAAAGTAAGTGTTGGCAGGGATCTGGAGAAATCGGAATGCTTGTGCACTGTTGGTGAGGTTGTAAAATGGTACAACTGCTATGGAAAACACCATGCAGGTTCTTAATATAATGAAAAGTAGGACTACCATGTGATCCAGAAATCCCACTTCTGGGTATATTTCCAAAAGGACTGAAAGCATGACCTTGAAGAGACATTTGCACACTCATGTTCGTAAGCAGCACTACTCAGAATAGCCAAGAGGTGGAACCAAACCAAATGTCTATTAACAGATGAGAAGAAGAAGAACAACAACAATAAAACAGATGAGTGGTTAAGCAAAATGTGGTACATGCATACAGTGGAATACTACTCAGCTCTGAAAAGGAAGGGAATTCTGTTACAAGCTTGATGACATTAAGCTAATTAAAATAAACTTAGTAAAATAAGTCACTAAAAGACAAATGCTGTATGATTTCACTTATATGAGGTACTCAGAGTAGTCCAATTTATAGAAACAGAAAATATATTGGTGGTTACCAGGGGTTAGAGAGCAGGAAATAGGGAGTTGTTGTTTAATGAGGAGAGTTTAAGTTTTACATGATGAAAAAGTTCTGAAGATCTGTTTCATAATAATGTGAGTGTACTTAACATCACCAAACTGTACACTTGAAAATGGCTAAGATGGTAAATATTGTGCTATGTGCTGTCTCCACAATTCAAAAAATACAACATTCTTACTATAATATCTGACAAATGATGGTAATAATAAGAGCTAATTCCTTTTCTCCCTGCCCTTCTGCCATCCTTAATGCATTTTTTAATTAAACATTTTTTGATAACATATAAAGAAAACGGTCTAAATATGTATTGTGCATCTGTTAAATGTAACCAATTGTCAACCTTGCATATGGATTTTTTTCATCTAAAATAACAATCAAGATGCCCATTAAGAGTAGAAATAGAAAAAGTAAATTGTAGGTTATTCATACAATGGCATACTCTTTAGCAATGAAAATGGGTGGAACACAGCTATACGCAACAATATGGCTGAATCTTGTAAACATAATGTTGATCAATTTATATAAGAAGTAAAGGTGCAAGAGTATAGTTCAGTGCTTAGCAGGTCTGTGCTTAGCATGCCCAGGGTCCTGGGTTCTATCCCCAGTAGCTCCATTAAAAAAAAAAACAAAAAAACTAATTACTTCCTCTCCCCACCAAAACAGAAATAAAAACAGACATCACTAATCTAAGCCGCTAGAAGTTACAACAGGTCACTGAACTGGGAGTGACTGAGAGCATCAGAGGGTTTATGGGGTTGGTGATGTTGCTCTGTTTCTTGAATCGTGTGCCGGTTACACAGATATGCTCAATTTGTGAAAAATCAACAAGCTGCATCTTTAGGGTACATACATTTTTCAGAATGTATGTTATACTTCAATACAAATTAAAAAAAAATGAAACA